CTTCCTGCCTCGCACAGCAAAACTGTGGAATGATCTGTCGTCGGCGGTATTTCCGAACCGATACGACCTTCAAACCTTCAAGAGAAGAGCGTACTCCTTTTTAAAGGGCCGGCAACGCACCTGTGACTCTTCTGGTGTTGCGGGTGTCCATGGGCGGCGCTGATTGCTTACCATCAGGTGATCCGTCTGCTCGTTTGCCTCCTATTCCATAAAAAAAAAAAAAAAATGAACTTAATGGTATTGAGTTTGGCTTTATATTCCGTACTTTGAATGCTATTGTAACAGCTACGATTGGGGTTGTATAGTTTTGACATTGAATAATTATTGAGATTTTATTGAATTGAAATTCGATTGACATTGAGATTGGTTTCAAGAGTAAGCACCGGTCGAGCGGCGAGCTACCCATGCTCGTCGTCCGCAGGCCCGTGACGCAAGAAACATTAGAAAACAAAAATGGCTTCCATTTAATGTCATAATTAAAAAGCTTAATTCTTTTATGACCAGTAATAACCAAGTTTTACGAGAACACTAGCTTCTGTCAGCGGTTCCACTCGCATTCCTGTTAAATAGATCCAGAAAAAAGTAGCCTATGTGTTATTCCAGACTATAATCTATCCCTGTTCCAAATTTCATCACGATCCCTTCAGCCGTTTTGACGTGATTGAGTAACAAACATACAGACAAACAAACAAATTTTACATTTATAATAGGTATTAGTATTAGTAAAATTTGTTACCTACTTTTTTATATATATTAGATGGGACTGACGTTTGTCCGCTATTTAGTCTAGTGGTGCACGATGGGGCACGTCTACATAAGCAACCTATTCACTCGGGCCCCTGGAAATACCGTTCAGGAAATACAGACTCTGGCAAAGAAAAAAAATTAAGAATAAAATCGTGAGATAACCTAAGGATATAATTCCTAATTTCTAAAAACCATATACCGGGCACAATTTCACACTCCGTGCTACTACTGAGAATTTTTTTTAAACCCTGACCCTGGCCTAGAAATCGAACCCGAGACCTTTTCCTGGCAATCGCACTTGCGACCACTCGGCAGTCAGTGTAAAGGCAGAGAAACTAGTTGTAATTTCTAATAATATGTTAACCGACTGAGTTGTGTTTGCAACTATTCAGCTAATGATGATAATGATGCAGATGAATAATGAATTATAATTATTATTGATTTATCATTTCTTAGAAATTATTATTTATCTTAGAAAATGTACATAATTATAATATAATGCGCTTACATAGTTTTGTCTGCACGAGTTCGTTATACTTAGGTTATCTTGTCGAATGTATTAGTAAGATTAGAATTGCAAAAGTATTTGTGTACTGCGACTGCCTCGTTGGCCGAGTGGTCGCAAGTGCGACTGCCGGGCAATGGGTCTCGGGTTCTATTCACGGGACGGGCAAAGTATTACTGGGTTTTAAAAAATTCTCAGTAGTAGCACGGAGTC